AGATTCCAACCCAAACCATTCCCTGACTCCATGATCCAATCTCAGCCCCCACAATGCTTTTCCTGCACTTCTGCATTTTAGGATTTAGCTTTCCCTGCAGGATAAATCCTTTCCTTTGCAGGATCTAAACGTGGATGAATTTGAGGAAATATTCAAAACAAAAGCCCAGGGCCCAGCCATGGATTTGACTTCCAGCAAGCAGAAGATTCCTCAGAAAGGATCCAACAAAGTGACGCTGCTGGATGCCAACAGAGCCAAGAATTTGGCCATCACCCTTCGGAAAGCTGGGAAAACGGCAGATGAGATCTGCAGAGCCATCCACGTGTGAGTACACACAATTCCCAGCCAAGGAATCCTGCCCCGGGGTGCTGGGACTGCTGGGAAATGCCTTGGAGTGGGCAGCTGGGGGAAATGCTGGAAAAAAATTCCAGGGGAAGGACGGGATGGTGGTGAATTCCCAGGAATGAGAACTCCTGGAATTCAGGAACCTCTCAGCTTTGTGCTGCTGAGTCACTGTTGAGGTTGGATAAATTAGCAGCTCCTTGATTAAAGCAGCTCATTCCAGCCTGTCCAGTCTGCCGTGGCAGCTCCCAGTCTGCTCCAGTTCCAGTGAGCAAATCCAGAGGGAGCCCAGGAAGAGGCAGCTCTTCTGGTTTGCTCCATGAAGGCCGGGTTTATCCAGGTGCTGGAGCAGATTTGCCATGGAATTGGGTTTGTGGAGCGGCCCCAGAGCTGATACAGATCCTTCCCTGCTCCTGGGACAGGTGGAGCTGATCCCAAATCCTTGGGGCTGATCCCAAATCCTTGGGGCTGATCCCAAATCCAGCCAGACTCTTCCTGGCCGTGTCAAACATCTCCCACTCCTCCCTTAAGGAATTTCTCCAAAGTGTGGATGCACAAGCTTTGCCTTTGGCTGAGGGTGACCCAAACCTGCCCCAGGTCCTGGCAGGTTCAGCAGTTGGGCTTCAGGGTGCTCTGGGCAATTAAATACAAATATTTGCTCCTCCCCACCTCTTTTCCCTGGAAAAGTGAGCCTGGAGGGGTGGGGGAAGTGGCCACGTGTTTGGGAATGGAAGCAGCATCGTTCCCATAATCCCAGGATCTATTCCCAGGGCAGGAGGAGCTGCACAGCTTCTTCTTTGCTTTTCTCCACGTGGAGCTGAATCCCAGACTGCCTGGGGCTGGGAAGGACCTTAAATCCCATCCAGTTCATCCAGGGACATCCCCCACTGTCCCAGAGTGCTCCAGCCTGGCCTTGGACACTCCCAGGGATCCAGGGGCAGCCACAGCTT